TATTCTTCCAGGCTGAGACTCAACCTGACAGTATTCCTGGGTTCTTCCTAGAGAACGAGTTGCTCTACCGCAGATACAGACCCAGTAAACTGAAGGAGGACGACGATTGGGCCAACGTCGAACAACTAGTGGTTCCTGCCAGCCTGCGGCCCACTATTCTACACCTGGCCCATGGAGCACTCTCGCACTACGGATTTAACAAGACCTACCACGGAATCCGTCAAGACTACTACTGGCCAGGTATGGTAAATAGCGTCAAACAGTGTCATACATGTCAGATGGCAGGTAAACCGAACATCTCTATTCCCAGAGCACCACTGACTCCCATACAGGTGCTTGCGGAACCTTTCCACAGACTTATTATAGACTGTGTTGGTCCTTTACCTCGGACCAGTTCTGGTAACGCCTATATACTAACCATCCTGTGTCCTACCACCAGATTCCCCATAGCAGTTCCAGTAAAGAACATTACGGCTGCTACGGTGGTGAAACACTTATTGAAGATCTTCACCCAGTATGGATTTCCAAGGGAGGTTCAGAGCGACTGTGGCACCAACTTCACCAGTGATCTCTTCAAGAGGACACTGGAAGAGTTCAACATCACACAGGTATTGTCCAGCCCCTATCATCCTGCTTCACAGGGTTCTCTTGAGCGTAGTCATCAGACTATTAAAGCACTCCTGAAGAAGTTTTGCAATGAAACCTCTAAGGATTGGGATAAGCAAATAGATTTAATAATGTGTATATTTAGAAGTCTTCCCAATGAGTCTCTAGGAGTATCTTCTTATGAGATGCTCTACGGACGTAAGTGCCGTACTCCTCTCAAAGCTTTTAAAGACTCTCTATGTGATGCCACCTTCAGTGAGCATCAGAATGTGCCCCAGTTTCTTCAAAACCTACAACACATTCTAGAGGGGGTGCATAACTTTGCTAAGGATAATCTATTGAAAGCACAGGAGAGGATGAAGACTCCTTACGACCAGAACAGCAAAGTAAGGAAATTTAAACCGGGAGACTTCGTGCTTGCCTATTTCCCTATCCCAGGTTCTCCCTTGCAAAACAGGTTTTCAGGACCCTACCGCATCAAGGTGTGCACAAACAACCACAACTACGTTCTAGAGACTCCAGATAGGCGACGGAAGACCCAGTTGTGCCACGTCAACCTCCTGAAGCTATATAACGGTACTCCTCCCACTGTATTGATAACATATTCTTCCTTTAAAGGTCCATACATCCACAGTGAGACCTTCCCTGCTTCTCCTCCCAAAAGCACTGACACTGAGTCAGCGCTTTCCAATTCGGAAATCCTCCCTGATCTTCATAACCATTTTCAGGACCCTAATAGTGCTCCTTTGCCATATTCTAATCCTATTCTCACCTCGTCAGATATCACCAAGCCTTTCATCCTCCATGTCGACGCCAGTGGTACCGGCATCGGGGGTGACCTAATGCAACAGCGAGGCGAGGAGAATATACCTGTTAGCGACCACAGCTACAAGGAACTACAGAACAATCGACAGGGAGCTACTCATCGTCCTGAACTTGCAGCACTTCAAACAATACCTGAAAAGTGCTCGGTCTACCACCATCAACACGGACCACAACACCCTACACTTCCTGCAGCAAGCCCAATTCCACACTCAACGTCTTCTACGATGGGCTTGATATCTGCAGAAATTCAACCTGGAGATCTCTACAAGGGTTCTGACATCATAGCCGATGCCCTCTCCAGAGTCTATGAAGTAGAGGCAACTCCACCTAACACTCTACCACATGAAGACATAACTTCTTCCAGAACCGCAGGCTTCGGGGGAGAGTTGTGACGATAATCTCTTTCAAGAGAGATTGAGCCTGCTCTTCCCTATATCATTCACGTCATGTTACAAGTACAAGATACTATATTGAAGATACGTCCACCAGTATCGCCAAACGTTTTGCCCAGGAAGCAAAGCGTACCTTGCACCACCAGACACGCCGGCTCCTCCGCCCGTCGTCAACAAGCAAACTACCCATTCTCCGCCTGCCTGCTCCTGATTGGCTGGTGTATCACCGACCGCACCTGCACCTGCACTCACACCCTCTACCTGAGTCGACGTCTGGGCCAGCACACGCCGTACTCCTCAGAATATCTCTGTGCTCTTCGAAGTTGACATCTCTCTCTGGTGGACTAAGCCCTGGCTGTCGTGTACTAAGGGAGGTGGCAGCTTAAGCCAGTATTCTCAGCACCTGAATAATATTATTATTGTCTTGCACTTCATTTTGTTTTAGAGTAAATTTTACATTCATTAATTATTCTTGTTTGTTGACTTGTTTTGAATTTTACGTAAGCCAAGGGATTGTCTTTGTTCATATCTTGTTTTCTAAAGTAATTAAAATTTCATTGTTTATATTTTGTGTTTTGTGTGTCTTCCCATTACCTTACCACAAACAAACAGGCAAGCAGTCTCTTTTTTTTTCTGTAAATGTGACAAGGCATTGTCACCTGCCATTGGAGGTCTGCCGAACATCAACACTCCAACATTTACCGTCACAATATATATATATATATATATATATATATATATATATATATATATATATATATATATATATATATATATATATATATATATATATATATATATATATATATATATATATATGTCGTACCTAGTAGCCAGAACGCACTTCTCAGCCTACTATTCAAGGCCCGATTTGCCTACTAAGCCAAGTTTTCATGAATTAATGTTTTTTCGACTACCTAACCTACCTAACCTAACCTAACCTAACTTTTTCTGCTACCTAACCGAACCTAACCTATAAAGATAGGTTAGGTTAGGTAGGGTTGGTTAGGTTCGGTCATATATCTACGTTAATTTTAACTTCAATAAACAAAAATTGACCTCATACATAATGAAATGGGTAGCTTTATCATTTCATAAGAAAAAAATTAGAGAAAATATATTAATTCATAAAAAATTGGCTTATTAGGCAAATCGGGCCTTGCATAGTATGCCGAGAAGTGCGTTCTGGCTACTAGGTACGACATTATATATATATATATATATATATATATATATATATATATATATATATATATATATATATATATATATATATATATATATATATATATATATTTTTTTTTTTTTTTTTTGACATTTTTTGTCACAAGTCAAACAGCATTGCTGTTAGCTTATACTGAGTGTACCAGCCTTGATTGTTTACTCAGTACTGAGGCTCTCACACCTGGGAATGTTACCCACAATTTTTTTTTAAATGGTGTCTCTTAACTAAAGCCATGAGGCAGCTGATGTGAACCCCGTTTAGCCGTGGAAGTTTTGAATCTTGCGATATATCTATGAGCGCCCTGAGGTGCTCTGCGCACCCCCGATCTAGCACCTCAAAGTGCTCTGCGCAGTGTGGTGGTTAAACGGGGACCAGAGCCAGAACCTGGCTCCCTCACAGAGGTGCAGGGAGTAATGACATTTTCCCACCTCACCAGCAAAAATTCCATTAAGTCAGTGAGACAAAATAAACCACAGCTAGGTTCAAGAAACCAAAGCCTAGGAACCCACCTAATGGACTCTCCCAAATTTGTAAACAAAACATGCAGATACTTATATATAACCTGTGTATATAGTGTAATAACCGACAAAGTATTTGTTCACTGTTTGATTAACATAATTGAATCAACAATATGCACACCATATTTTTGAGTACAGTGATGATTCACTCATTTTATTATGTAAATATATCACACTACACACTATTGAATAATATTACAGCAAAAAAACTACGAAAAATCAATCGGAGACATTGAAATAATTAGGTAATTATCTCTTTGTGGCAACTCCGGCCTGACAGCTGGAGAGCAACAGACCGTCTGGGACGCACGCTGAGTCGGCGCCTGTTTTTTGCCAGACTTCCCCGCCTTATAGCGGGCAATATATGCCACTTACAATTTTATTATTATTTTTCCCATGATCAGTGAACACACATTAACAGGTTTAGAAGAAAAAATTTTTTTTTTTTTTTTTTTGGTATGTGCCTGTGAGTGACACATGCTAAATAGCTAGGCGCCATACACGGGTTAATAGAAATTTGGGGGTATTTAGTGTTAGGGAATGTAAATTTTGTCTACAAGATCACCTCAGTTTTTGTTCATCTTGATATATAAAATATGTAGTTGAAGTCTCTCACATTTTGATTACAGGTTTGCCTGTAGGACCTTTGTTATAACTTGAGATTTGTGATTTCACTTGACACCATTCAGAATATTTTTCCTAACTTGAAGTTGTGACTTCTAACACCATTTTCAAGTCGACATTGTGCCCCAAATTGATAATGGGGGAAAATAATAAATCAAAGCATAGGCTCATTGACATAATATAAGCACTTGAAAATGTGAAAGAATGATTGCAATTATTTCCTCAGTTTAATTATTCTGATGCTTTTATAACCAAAGGTTTATAAAAACCTTTAGAAAGCAAGTTTATCAAAGTTGCAGTCTGAGCAGATCTCTCAATGATTACTGAAGAGTGCCACAGTTTATCTAACCTGCCACTCAGGATGTTTAAAATAGTGCTTGAGTTGTGTAACTGGTCCCTGTGTATCACTGTCATTGTCTGTCTTCATGTCTAGACACATGGCTAAACTTTTACAGTATTTGTTTATAAAAAAAAAAAAATTAAAACAAATATGAAAGGTTGCAGAGAATGTTGATCTGTAGTAATGTTCATACAGATAGTAGATATTGGTCATGAGAGCTAGCTTTCCCCCCCCCCCAAATCCCCACAAAAAAAATAAACTTAAGACTACCTGTATAAGTAATATTAAAATTTAGTGGTCATATCTTCACTATAACCAAATCCATGATGATCCTAAAGCATCAATGTGAGAGAGTACTCAATGGGATTTTTATTTTAATTACATATTTCTTTTATTAATTGCATTACAGACTTTAATAACAAATATTTTGACTCCTAATTGTGATTATAATGACACTCTTTATTTTGCAGGGTTCTGCTGTGGGTACCTGATATATTTGTGTAAAAATCTTAATGTATATTTACCAAGAATTAGTCAGCGTTTATGGGTGATGCTCCTGATACCACCCCTTTACTGCCTCACATTACTCAGGCACCTTAATAAGCTGGCTGTTTTCAGGTAAACCACCTCTAAGATTCTGTAACTGATAATTAAGGCAACTTAACAGCATCTAGCGGTTAGGCTAGAAAAATGTATATATAATTATTAAAAGAGATCTCTAAATATATAATAAAATTATCAGGATAATTTAGATTAATTTTTGTTAGTTAATCAAGTCAGAAGACTTAGGTTGTATTGACAGTAAAGATATTGAATTCGAGTCTTAGAACTGAGTAGAAATTTTCTGAGTTTGTGTGCTAGGAAGTGACAGTGAATATGATGTATTGTATTGTTAAGAGTTCTTAGTGGAACAAAGTTTGGAACATTACAGAGTCTATAGGAAACACTAAATGCTGTTCAGTCAATAACATGAAAAACATAAGGGTGATATAAACTGCAGAAGGCTTATTGGCCCATGAAGGGCAACTTCTCTTTATACCAAACCTAGATCTTTTCTGAACCTAAGCTTATCCAGTTTGCCTCCATTGTCTCCTGTTCTACTGCATATATTTCCACACCATATTAATATTCCCTTTTTTATGATGCATTTTAATTCAAAGAAAGGTCATATTGTGCAGGTCATATGCACAATATTCATATGCATATTTCTATCATATCACCCCTAACACTTTTCATAAGGGAAGTTTTTAATTACTGAGCCTAATTTTGTCAACCTTCTCTGTATATATTCAAGGAATTTTCCTTGCTTCACTGACTTCTTTTGTTTGGGAAGGTGGGGTAGAATTCTTGGAAGTAACACAATTACTGACACAGTATGACTGTTGAACAGGGAATTCCTACATGACAAATTTACTTAGCTTTTATATTTGAGAGCCATGAAGACTTTACAGGAAGTAGATGGTTCTGTTGACTGCATCTGCAGTATCTGGACCTAACAAATGATTTTCAACAGAATACCTTTTTTCTAGGGGGAGCCCCTACAACTCCCCGGAGCTATCCAGGCTGATATGATATTAGACTTATGGCATCAGTCAATGTGCATGGAGTTCTAGGCCTACCGGCAACCACGAGCCAGAACCCGGCCCCCCTCTGAGAGGCGCGAAGAGCAATGGCCTATAGAAACCCCCCCCTGTGGTTGGAAGCATTCCATGTCTGCCATCGACCAGGTCAGGCACCCAGAAAGGTAAGTGCCCCAAAACAAACCCCTATTCTGGTTAAATTATTGCTACCGAAAGCCGAACTAGTAGATAGAACTCCCTCCAAATGAAAGCGTGCAAACAAGCATGACACCACCACGTCGCCGTCTGCACAGCCCCCTCCACCCCGCGAAGGGGAAGCCTCAGACCTTCACGCCCGCTATCCATCCTTCAATTCTTGGCTGATGTGGCGCTGGCAGGTCATATGTCTCCGACTCCAGATTTGTTTTCAGTTCTGCACCCTTGTGATGAGGTGCTGTCTCTGCGATTGGTGTGTGAGCCCGGAATATTATTCTTTAAGTACTGGGGCTGCATATGCCTAGGGTTTCCTTCCCTAGGTGCCCAGTAAATACTGCTCTTGGGGCTTGGAGGCCACCTTCCACCAGTCACCTTGGAGTCTACCTCCACTGTGTCTTTTACTGCTCGGTAATTGGCCGCCCTTCGAGTCAGCTGGGGTTTGTGTTCCTCTGTTTGCCTCTGGGTAGGGGGGGGGGTAGTTTTCGACACTGGTTGGGGCACAGGGTACTGTGCGAAGTACCTGAAGAGGGCGAAGAGGGAGAACGGCCTATTGACATAGCTCGAGTGCAGGGGGGGAGTTGTGTAAAACCCTGGTTTGTGCCTCGGAGAGGCTACGGGATCCAGGAAGTTCAGTAGAACTTCGGTTTCAACTCTTTTTAACCTTGTCATAGCTCAGTCGATTAAGGCAGTGTCTGGGATGCTCCTGAACGCAGGTTCGAATCCTTGTCACGGCCCTTGTGGATTTGATCATGACCCTTATGTTCTTCAAACAATAAGGTCTGAATTCCACCGACAGAGCGATCTTTTAACATTGCGTCGGACATGTGTCTGGGAGCTGCAGGCGTGTGTTCCACCCATGGTTGCTTAGTCGCTATTTAGCCAGCCAGCAGCCCTTGGACATTCTGGGATTTTTTTCCAAGATGGCTGCCACTCACTGGAGGCCCGAAGAGTCCATTTCGCACACAACCTACTACACGCGCGTTTTGAATGGGTATGAAATATTAAGGTGTTTTCTCAGTTCGTGCAGTTTCCCACTGACCGAGTTTTTTCAGCTGGCGCAGTCCAGTGATTAAGAACTCCAAGTGACTGATGACCCCAAACTAATTTAACACATGTCAGTTCTGTTAGCTTCAGGGAGCTGATGGGGCTCCCCCAGAAAATTCCATTTGCAAAGTTACTCAAGGGGGAGGGGGTA